GAAGGAAGGAAGGAAGGAAGGAAGGAAGGAAGGAAGGAAGGAAGGAAAGAAGGAAGGAAGGGAAGAAGGAAGGGAGGGAGGAAGGGAGGGAGGAAGGAAGGGGAGAGAGAAAGAGAGAGGAGAGAGAGAGAGAAAGAAAAGAAAAGATAAGATGGGGCACCTGGGTGGCTGGGAAATTGGTTACACCAAGTAAATAAATGAAGTAAGTACATATGCTGAGGATAAAAGGAGCTGTTTTTCCCTACTTGAGAATATTTTACAAAACTGGAAAGAGGTTGGCTGGACTTAAGATGGAGTTATCAAATGAATTCTAGTTTTATGATCTAAAACTCATGGTTTTACAATGTAAAATCTATAACATATATATATACACACACACACAGATATATATATGCTCACACACAAACATCATGCATGTTTGCACATTCACCTAGGAATATAGAAACAGTCACAGATGTACATATATATGGCATGTGTACATATATATACGTGTATTTTCTGTCTGCTGAGAGAACCTAGAGGTAGTGACACCCCAGCAGCATGTGTACACCTTAGCACCCAGATTTTGGTTTCTAATTACTATCCTCCATTTAAAAGAAGCAGGGCTCCTTGGAAATGGCTGATTCCAGGGCTAGAGCAGGAAAAGAACAAAATAACCTTGGAAAATCTTGTGCCAGCAAATCAAGAAATGTCCCATGAACGACGGGGTCAAGCCAACAGAACAAAGGAGCCAGCATAAAGCAGGTCCCACTAGCTAAACTGGGGACAGCTTAAGGATCAGAATATAGAATTACAACCTATTACAACCTCTTGAATAAAATAGGAATCCATGAATCTCTGCTGACAGAAATAAACAAGTAAATGAGAAAACTTTTTTTTTTTAAAGATTTTATTTATTTATTTGACAGAGAGAGAGACAGTGAGAGAGGGAACACAAGCAGGGAGAGTGGGAGAGGGAGAAGCAGGCTTCCCGGTGAGCAGGGAGCCCGATGAGGGGCTCGATCCCAGGGGGCTGGGATCATGACCTGAGCCAAAGGCAGACACTTAACAACTGAGCCACCCAGGCGCCCCAAGAAAACTCTTCCTTACAGTGGAATGCCAACTAATAAATACAGACAGACTGACAAACAGAGAATCACCATCTGGCAACTATCCCAGGAAGGAGTTGTCTGTGGATGCTAAGGCTGTGAGGCAGAGGTCTGGTGAGCAACAGGATAGTGGTACAATCTCAGACTATCTTTGCACAACATAATAATCAATAACAAACAGAAAAATGATGAATTTAATCTGAAGAGACGTGGCAAACACCAACTTAACCAAGTGATCAAGGTTAGCATCACTGGTAGTGGGACAGGTAGACCTCATTTGCCTCCAGGTGATACACTAAGGGCACAGCATATTCCTGACAAAAATGATACGACAGTTGTCACGAAGAAACAGATGGACCCAGATCTAGAACTTCAAAATGTCAAGGACATGAAAGAAAGGCAAAGAAGACTGAGAACTGTTCCAGACTGAAGGAGTCTGAGGAGACATGCAACTAAATGTAACACCTATCCCTAGAGAGGACCCTGGACCAAAACAGAGAAAAGACATTACTGGGACAGCTGGCAAGATGTTCACTGGCTGTGTGGATGGATGGTGACAGTGCACCAATACTGCTCTCCTCATCTGGAGAGCAGATCCAGGCTATGTAAGACAGTCCTACTGGGGGAATACACACTGAAGTGTTTCCCAGTGAAGGGATATCAGATCCGTGGCTTGCTCTCAAAATTTAGAAAATAACGATAAAGAGTGTGCATGTATACACACACATAAAGAGTGGACAGGGGCGCCTGGGTGGCTCAGTTGGTTAAGTGTCTGCCTTTGTCTCCCCTGCTCAGTAGGGAGTCTGCTTCTCCCTCTCCCTCTGCTCCTCTCCCCCACTCGTGCTCACTCTCTCACTTGCACTCCCTCTCTCTCAATAAATAAAATCTTTTAAAAAAGAGAGAGAGACTGGCCGTGCATCCCAGCCACGCCTCGGGCCAAGGTTTCAACAGACCTCACCAAAATGCCATCTCAAATGGAACACGCCATGGAAACCATGATGTTCACGTTTCACAAGTTTGCTGGGGATAAAGGCTACTTAACAAAGGAGGACCTGAGAGTACTCATGGAAAAGGAGTTCCCTGGATTTTTGGAAAATCAAAAAGACCCTCTGGCCATGGACAAAATAATGAAGGACCTGGACCAGTGCCGAGACGGCAAAGTGGGCTTCCAGAGCTTCTTCTCGCTAATTGCTGGGCTCACCATCGCATGCAATGACTATTTTGTAATACACATGAAGCAGAAGGGAAAGAAGTAGGCAACAGGAGCAACACTCCCGCCCGCCCAATGAGAGTTCTCCCGCAGGATCTCTAGGAATCTGTCCCACAGCTTCCCCCTGTATAAAGGATTCCATGAGCAAATCGGGACCCTCAGAAAATGTACAAATAAAATCCAACCCCCATTTGAGAAGCAGAGAAAGAAAAGTCAGGTAAGCTTTTGATTTTTATATTGCTTGCACCCTTACCCTCAATAAACAAATTCCTTCTTCAGTTAAAAAAAATAAAATAAAATAAAAAATAAAAAAATAAAAAAGAGAGAGAAAGTGGACAATGGAGCAAACACAATAAAATATTAACTGGGAAATCTGAGTAAAAGGAATATAGGTACTTTGAGAGTTTTTCTTCTATTTTGGGGGGTTTTTTATTTATTTTTATTTTTTAGTTGTTCTGGCAACTCTTTTCTAATTGTGAAGGTATTTCAAAATAAATACTTGGGGAAAAATAATAGCCCTCCAGTGCCAGGAAGTGTGCAGGGCACAATATCTTTATCTTCACAATAAAGCTGATACTAAAGCTCAGAAAAGTTAAAACCTGGTCGAAGGTCCTCCAGCTAACAAGTGCTGGACCCACTCTGACTGAGGTCTGCCAAATTTGAACGCTTTCCCTCTTCTGCACCATACTACCTTGTTCCACAAACAGCTAACCACTGTGTACTGAGTGACACGCAAACATGTGTGCCGACCACTGAGGATGTAAACTGAATCAGGCCGTCCCTGCTCTCAAGGAAGTCAGCCTAACAGAGACAGACAGACTTGTAAAGTGATAAAGGGTTAAAAGTGCCATGGTTGGTCTTTACTTCTGTACGTAGGAAATGTTGTCCCTCACTCCATCCTAAGTTCCGAGTGACCCATCAGAGGGGTCACACTTTGCGATGTATAGGACAAATAGACCAATGGCCACAATGGAATGTATTTAGCTCATGTGAGTGAAATGTCCCTGTCTAACACACACACACACACACACACTCTCTCTCTCTCTCTCTCTCTCTCTCTCTCTTTCTCACTCACTCCTCCAAGGTCTAAACAGCCCTAAAGAAAATAAGGGGGGTGGTAATACAAGGATATTTGAGGAGTCTCAAACTACTGTTCCCCTTAGGTTTATATCATCCCCAAAGGTAGTCGATATTTTGCTTAAAGGGGTCCTCTTCTAAAAAGTAGTGGTTGCGATGGGATTAGGACTTAGGACTGTTTGGCCCAATTGCGATACTGGATTCCTGCCAGAAGTCATACTCTTAATTTCTAGTGGTTTTCTCCTCAAAGCAGAAAAATAACTATTATACATGAAAAACAGCAAAGGTCTGAAGCTCTACCAATGCATCAAGAATCAGGTTTACTTGGCTCCCTGCTCCAACGACTCTGAAAGCCAAATTTACCCCCAAAGGAAGTCAGTTTTACCATCAATTATGTGTAAATTAAGTGGTTTTTTTTTCTGGTTATAAACCAACTGGGGACAGGCGGGATGCAGTGCCTCTTGGTGTTGTCCTGAGTTTTGCAGGTAGCTTAGGTTCAGACCCTACATCACTTCAGGGAAGGGAAGGAGGTGGCACAGGCTACACAGCGGTAACGCAAGAGCACACGTGACCGCCACTGCCTCCAGAAAACACAGTTTCGCAAGGGAGACAAAGAGCGCTACGGAACATCACAGAAAGAATACCTTCTGGACTGGAGTGAGAAGAGGGAAAGGTTTCCTTAAAAATGGTACATCAAATAGCTGAGATCTAAGTAACAGGAGAGTTAATATTAACCTAAATTTGCCAGGTTTATGAATTCATGTGTGTTTTACTTGGTGGAAAATTTTCTGAGCAGGCAGGTAAAAAGCCTTACAAGAAAAGATATGTCCAAAGGCAAGAAGGGCAAGAAGGGAAAAGAAACAGCAAGGGATTCTACCTTGCTGGGACATAAATACCAGGAAAGAAGCCTGTGGAAAGCCTTTAGTAGTGGAATAATAAATGTTTAATTATCACAACAACTCAGCAATAGCTCTTATTAGCTCTAGTTTACTAGTGAGAAAAGTGGCCTGGACAAGGTCACAGAGCAAAGAAATGGCAGATTGGGGGTGCCTGGGTGGCTCAGTCGGTTAAGTGTGTGACTCATGATTTCGGCTCAGGATCATGAGATCAAGCCCCAGGTCAGGCTCTGTGCTCAGCGGGGCATCTGCCTGAGATTCTCTCTCCCTCTCCCCCAACTCATGCTTTAAATAAATAAATAGATAGATAGATAAAATCCTAAAAAAAAAAAAAATGGCAGATCAGCAAACCCATCCTCTTTCTGTTTCACTCCCCTCGGTTTTACCCAGAACACGACTAGAATTTGTCAGATTCCCAGACAAATCACCTTTTCCCTGGATCGCTAACCCTTGGTATCTAACACTTTTGAAATCCAAACACTCACCGAAGTTAATTTTAGCTCCATCTAGGAGTCAATCCCTCACTAAAATTTGGTGTACTCATTTTTTTTAACGTTTTCACCAATGTGGATTTCAGTAACAACAAAAAAATTGTTTTCCCCTGATGCTGCAGAGGCCCCCAAAAATTTATGGCAGCACTACGATGACAGCCCAGACAGAAGTCGTTGTATGCTCTGTAACGCACAGCACATCAGCACTGACTTCAGCTGGCAGCGGGAAGAGACAGCAGTTAGGACCCCACAATTACCCCTGTAGAGAAGCACACGAAAGGGAAGGCAGGAGTAGGAGCTACAGTAACAGTAACACAAACAGCCGTCTGTGCTCAGAGCCCGTCCTGCCAAGAGCTTTTAAACACCCACGTCCCTATGCCTCCCTCTCCCCGCCATGCAGGTGGGCCCATTCCTCTCCATTCTTCTCCAACCCACGTAATTCCAGAGGAAGAGATAATCCGCTGCAGGGAGTAGGAAGCAAAAAAAACTGCGGTACTTTTGCACACAAAAGACGACAGAGGAAGAGTCCTAACTCCCTTCCCTGTGTTCTATCCATTAAGCCAGTATTTCCCTATTTCTTCCATTGTCTGAACATACAGAAATGTCGCTCCTGTTACAACCCCCAGGTCCCTGCCACCCACGCTGCCCAGGCTGGATTAGGTGCCCTCTCCCGGCCATCTTATCGCTCACTCACCTTTCCCCCTGCACTCACCACACTGCACCTCTCCTCAGCATCAGTCCCCCCTCCCCCATACTGAAAGCTCCCAAGGACAGGGACTGTCTCTCTGCCTCCCTCCACATCCTCAACAGCCAGCACAGTGCTAGGCATTCAGGTGCTGAGAAGGGTCATGTGGTGCACACAAGAACTGCAGAATGAAACGGGAAGTGGGCAGTGGGAGAGGAAATGGTTGGAGAGTAATCTGAGGTCTGAGGATCCAGGATATCTAAATAGAAATCATGGTACAGCCTCTAGACTGGACCAATATGTTGAGTGCAACATTTACATTAAAAAAAAAATCCTTTAACAGTCGCTAATAGATTTATGACAAAAGGGAAAGCTGAGAGTATCACGAAAAAATTAAAAACTAACCACAGTTATTATTAGTGTTATGTCCCCCAAGGCAGGACAGCAGCGAGGAGTGCAACAGTCTACAAAGGTACCACAGCCCTCCCACCCAGCTCCCGTTCTCACAAATAGCTCTTCACTGCTCTTTTTTGTTTTCTCTTTTCTTTTTCTGGAAACTTTTTTTTTGCCTCCCACATCCCCTTCCCCTTCCCCTCTCCACTCTCCCAACAACCTCCCGGAGAAAACAATGACTATGTGCAACACCCAAGAACGCTCAGAAAGACATGGCCCCGGTTCTCCGAAGTTCATCCTGACAGCTGCTGGCATGAGGAGCACTTTGTTCCCAATTTAGCAGACTTCAGCTGGGTGACAAATGTGGCCAGGAACTCCTCAACAAGGTGCTGGGAACCATGGAGGATCTCAAAACCGTTCTTGGGTGCCACACTTCCCCATCTGCCCGCAACTCTACAACGGCAAGGTTTCCAGCAGGCTCTTCTCGGACGCTAACCCAGCCACGACACTTCCTCCCCAGGGACACCCACTCTCCACTCCTCCTTACCACGTGTACTTGTCAAAACCCCACAGAACCTGACAGAAAGGTAAGACAGGGAAAGGGTGTGATAAGGTCCTGGGATTCTTTCAATTCAAACCCTTAGCTGTACTTTTTCTTGTTTGTTTTTTGTTTTTTGTTTTGTTTTGGTTTGGTTTTTGCTACTGAAGAAAACTACATAATTACTAAGAGGTGCTGATCTTTACTAAGATTTTACTTGCAATCACTGCAATATGATGTCAAAGCTGAAAGGAACCTCAGAAAAAATGTCATCATATCCCCACATTTCACAGATGGAGAAACGCCCAGAGAAGTTAAGAACTGCCTAACCAGTTACACAAAGAAATCCCTAGAATGTCAGATCCTAAATGGCAAGAGTTGTATCTAATCCATCTCCAGAGTCCAACACAGTATACAGCACTTAATAAATGGTTGGTAAACTGAACTAAATGAACATAACTAATAGTGGGAAATCTAGGACTATGACCCACGATGTTTTACTTCAAGAACAGTGTTTCGGGGCGCCTGGGTGGCTCAGTCAGTTAAGCGTCTACCTCCAGCTCAGGTCATGATTCCAGGGTCCTGGGATCAAGTCCCACATCAGGCTCCTTGGTCAGCAGGGAGCCTGCTTCTCCCTCTGCCTTCCACTCCCCCTGCTTGTGCCCAATCACTCTTGCGCTCTCTCTCTCTGACAAATAAATAAAATCTTTAAAAAAAAATAAGAACAGTGTTTTTTCATCACATGTGACTAGAAAGCTGGGATCTCTGAATGATAATTCATGGGGGGAAACAGCATACCCCATGGAATTCAGACTCTCTCCCTCCTCAACAACTAGGTATACTTCCTTTATCTCTGACACCACCTATAATTCCAACTTCTTTACATTCTAATCGCTCTAAAAATCATACATTTCTAAATTGATTTCCTAAAATACCCCTTCTCTCACACTCAGAAAATCTTTTAATAACTCTCTTCAATTACTTTTTTCCCAAGTTTTTATTTAAATTCCAGTTAGTTAACATACAGTGTAATATTAGTTTCCATGCACAATTTAGTGATTCAGCACTTCCATACAACACCTGGTGCTCGCCAAGACAAGTGTGCTCCTGAATCCCCATCACCCATTTCACCCACCCCCCCTCCCACCTCCCCTCTGGTAACCATCAGTTTGTTCTCTACAGTTAAGAATCTGTTTCTTGGTTTGCCTT